GTTAGAATTTAAGTATCGAATTTAGTAGTTGTCAATTAGTTAATCTTTTTTTGGATGATGTTTTAATTCGAGTAGTCCCGATGTGTAAGCGGTGGTACTAGGCCTAGCCTAGCTAGCTAGGCCTAGGCCAGTGGAGGGCCTATCTAGGCCTAGCCAGCTAGGCTAAGCCTATTCTATCGGTCCAAGGCCGGTGCTAGGACTAGGTAGGGCATAGGCTAGGCCTAGAGGCGGTTAAGTATGAAGGACCACTACCTACCAGACCCAGCAGGACTAGGCTAGAACTTGAGGCCAAACAGGCCCACCTACCTACAGACTACAGTAGGTCCAGGCTTGGCCCAGTCAGCTTTGATGGGGCATATGATGAAGGAAGAAGATCAAGCAATTGATTTCTGGATCAAGTAGCCACCGTAGTAGCCAAACAAAGGTGGACCCAACACCTGCCAGATGTTGCCTACAGTAGCTAGGCCTACAGGTGTGGACCACCCGCTACCGCGCATGCATTTGGGCATCGTCATTTTGCAATGTAAATTTGCGACATGTCGCTACCCAGAAAACGGTATAGAGGTATGATCTAATGCAATTTTGTGACTTCAAATACATTTTCTGTAAAAAACTATAAAAATTAAACCACTTTTTATACAATATTTACTATTACTAGCAAAATATAAACAGTCCCTCCCTCATCGATAAAAACAGAAGCAAAATAATCTATTGTTCCGATTAAAAAAAAAAAAAAACACGCCCTCCCTCATCAATTTTTTTTTTAAAACAGTGATAATCTAAACAATTTTTTTATGTGCCTAAGAGAAAACTAATTTTGTTCAGAATCAAACACACATCAATATACACTGCCACAATGAGACAATTATAAGATACAATTTTTTTTTTATTCATTGATTATTCTGTTAGATGTTGTAACAATGTATTTAATAATTTAATATCAACAATCATAATGTTAGTATTTAAAAATAATTACAAATTTATAAAAAAAATATTGAAACTTAAAGTTCATATTGTAATTTAAAAAAAATATACAGTATTAGAAATATATCTGTACAGTTAACACCAAAGGGAAAGGGTGTTGTTCGTGTATTTCAGAAAGATGTAGAAGAAAGCGAGGTTGACAGTCAAGTAGGCACAAGCAGGTATCCTGACTGCAACATGTATGACAAGTGGAATAGTGACCATTGGCCATCTACACTTCCTTGATCTGTAAAGAAAGTAGTGTACAGTTTGCAAAATGAGTAATATAATTTAATTACAGTACAGTATAGTATCAAAAGTTTAAATTCAGGTAACTACACTTACCATGATGGTGTTAAAGCTTATTTTTTCTGCAAGTTGCCAATTGTAGTACCTGGGTTAACAGCATTTATAATACCCATAATAATAATATGTTAATAATCATTTTTGTAAAATTATAGAAACAGGTATATAATATTAGTACTATATATATTATCTGTTTTATGATAATTGTACTAGATATTTAATAGGTTTTTGATATAGTAAATATACAAGTACTGTAGGGAGCTGTGTGTTTCAACCGAAAACCTTATACTCAATATTTTGCCTATTTTAATGTTTCCATAGTCACTGCCTAGTACCTTAGTTTTTATGATTTTGTATATTTTTTGAAATAGAAATAGGTAATAATTAATTTTTTATTGATTAATATAGCTGTATATCCAATAAATCAGACACCCATTTTCACAGAATTAAGAAAACTGGCTACAAAATTAAAATATGTTTGCTATGGTAACTAGACTCTCATGGGTATAATTAATTATAATTTCATTGTAAAGCGTGCATACATATGTAAAAATTGTAACCAATATTATGCCTATTTGTTACTAATCAAATGAGCTTTTTTTTTTAGGGCATTTAAACATGTGTTTTACACTAAAGTGTTACTAAAAATGGCTTAATTTAATTGTTGTAAATTTAAATACATGGGAATAAAATTTGAAACAAAAAGGGTAATTATTAAGAGTTCTACATGGTTTTTAATTTGTTTACTTTTTATGAATATTTAATGAGCTTAAAACAAGATTATATATTCACCAAATTTCCCATAGAAAAATTACCTTATAAACCACAAGAATCCTTAAATTTTCAAAATGCTCTAGCTCTGCAACACTTTACCCAGTTTTGCTGAAAGAAGTGTCAAAAAACTCATAAAATAATGCTTTATCCAATAGTAGTAGTACAATTGAAGTAATTTGACTTAGTTACATATTTCTTGGTGGTCCCTATATAGAGTACCAAGTTTGCCTAGCCCTGCTACTTTATTTTAGTGCCGTAGCTAGGGATACGATACAGTACTTCTGTTTGCTAGAGGTATGTAAATGGCATTACGTCACCATCACCCAATAAATTTCCTGAATGTGTGTGACATCATTTTAAAAGTTTGTTGTGGCATTGCAGATTTCCACTTGTCACGTGGTGATGTACATTACCGATTTATCAAGGCTGGCGCCGCCAAGCGAAGAAGCTAAGCAAGGCCTAGCTGGAAAATTTGGTCCAGGATTCAGTCCTCTTTTAACTTTAATAGGAACCTTTGTGATCGTCATGGTGTAATATATGTGTGTGCGTACGTGTGTGTGTCTATGTGTATGTGACATCATCAAAGTTTATAAACAAACAAACATGCATTTCCAAACACTAGCATACATGAGCCCTGGTCCTGTACAGTAGTTGTGTGCTAGTGCTTAAAAATATTTTTGGATAAACATTAAATCAGTATCTTGGTACATTATACACATATATACAACATATACTGTATATGAGTTGTTGAAAGTGTCATGGTAATAATATTACCTGAGTCACATAGTATTTTTATATTTATTAGTAATTTATGTATGAAATGCATTATCGTACTATTGCGTTGATGAAAGTGTCATGGTAATAATATGTCACAATTTACCTGAGTCACATAGTATTTTTATATTTACTAGTAATTTATCTGTGAAATGCATTATCGTACTATTGAGTTGTTGAAAGTGTCATGGTAATAATATGTGACAATTTACCTGAGCCACATATTATTTTTATATTTATTAGTAATTTATCTATGAAATGCATTATTGTACTATTGAGTTGTTGATAGATATTCTTAGATCTTTTTTAGTTGCACTGAAAAAGTGAAGCCTGCTGGATTTGATGCATTGGGTGTGACACATTCTTAATTACTTTAATTTATGAATAGCATGCAATTGTTATTACAGTTTTGATTGATCTTGGGACATGGAGAAACCACTTATATGAGCTGAGTGCGTGTAAGAAATCGATGTTATGTATTTGTATACTTAAATATGCAGTGACTATTGTGAGCTAAACAAATTGAAAACTTTCAATTCATTTCCATATTTGAATTGCTTAATTTGTATATTAACTTTATAATAAAAAATTTGAATGAGATTAAAAAATTTCCAGTCAATAAACATCCCTGTATTCTTTTCCTTAGTCCCTTTAAATAGGTAGTCACTGTGTGTGCGCTGAACCGTGGAGATCTCTAAGTCCCCGGTTCAATTCCCATCGCTGCCTCTCCTTGTGTTTCAGCTGGAGGGCTGAAATACTAGTTAATAGCGCACCGTCTTTCGGATGAGACGTTTAAGCCGTTGGTCCTGTGTGCATTTATAGCACATGTGCATGTTAAAGAATGCACTTAAACTCTTCGGAAAAGAGTAGGGATTGTCTCCCGATGTACTACCCAATCACTACCAGAAGGACCCCACTGAAAAAAGTAGTCTTCTAGACTTTCATGGGCTATCCTTGGTGTTTACACCGAATAAATACAACCAAAATTGGATGTTAATCAATTTAAGGTTTTTTTTGTAGTAAAATGTCTTTAAGTCAGTAAAATCAGTCACTTGGTTTCTGGTTGGAAGATAAAAAACTTTTGATTCTTTTTTTAATGAGCTACAGTATTCAAAATTGTATTTGCATTTTTTAAGGTTTTCCTCTTCTTTTTTTTTTGCAGCATTACATCTTCAAGGTTGTTAGTTGGTGATCTTTTGTGTGATATACACACTCATAAATCCAGTTGAAAACAAAAATGTTGTAACACATTTATCTGCATTCTATTACACTCTATTCTTGTACTTGATGTACAAATCAAACATAGTGAAGACATGTAGTAGCCTGGGAACATAGTCTGGTCTCTTGATTACCTCTCTTAATGCATCACAGGACTAACTTTATATGTTGAAACCAAATAATTATATCCATCAAGCCTTACGGATCTCAGTTTAATTATTATTGATTATATGTTATATGACATTGGTTCACAGAGCCTGAGAACAGAATCTGGTCTGTTGTGAAATCTCTTTGTACATCATGTAACAGACTTAGTTCAACGGATAAAGCAATAACATTAATATCTATTTCTTTCTAATGGATAATAATAATAATAATAATAATAATAATTTTTCTGAATCGGACTTAGGGGAATAACTTTTGTGTTATTTTCCTCTTCTTGTCATGTTATTTTCCCTGTAATTTCTCCTTTGTCTAAGGTTCCCTTAAGGTAGGTTTTAGTAAAATAATAATAATAATAATAATAATAATAATAATAATAATAATAATAATAATAATAATAATACACTTAAGGTATTTTTAAGTAGGTTTAAAGCATATATTTTTAGTCATCAAACATAGGTATATTTTTAACTTTTTGATATATGTTATTGCATAAATTTTAATCAAATTTTTATTGTAAATATGCTTTTTGGTGTTATGTTGAGACTTCTGCCTCACTGAGTCATACAAGCAATTGCTTCTTTAGAACTCCTAGGACTTTTGTGTCAAATAAATAAAAGAAATGAAATAATAATAATAATAATAATAATAATAATAATAATAATAATAATAATAATAATAATAATAATAAAATGGGCTTTATCACTACAAATATATATAAAAAATAATAGTGTTCAAAAATAGATATGTACGTTTAAATAAATGGATATCAATTGATGCAAAAAGTTTATTAGGTACTACCA